AGATCCTTATTTTAAAAATGAGCTTTTTGGTGACCTGTAATGTTCTCATCTCAATTACAAGTTTAAAACATTATGCTCATTTGTCTTGCTAACTTTTGGAAGTGTGGCTATCTTCATTTTTATCTATAAGGTGATAATTGCAGATTCAATTATTTCTAAAAGAAAAGGATGTTAAAAGATCAAAAGTGAAGGTGAGAATGTGGGAGTTATCTTAATGAAATAGAAATATCCCACAGGGAGTGTGTGCAATGAAGTGACCACAGTCTTCCTTGGCACTTTAGTTTTGGAAGGTTTATTAATAATGTCAATTAGTGAGCTCTGGTAGATTTTCTTAGTGGAGTTTTCTTTTATTATGCAAGTCTACTATCTATTTTTTTCCTGATTGAATATTTTAGTGAATACTTTAAATGAAATTGTTGTAGACTTTAAAGTCTGAAGCCTTATTGTGGTTGTTAACTCATAATTTTAATTTAAAATGTCTCAAGAATGCTTTACTGTTAATTCAAAGGATTTTTTGCCAGTATTACAACCAGTGGCTTCTCTTGAGCAGCTAATTAGTGCGATTATTCCACAGCTGCATTTGCTAGAGCACAAAGGTTTGCTCCTGTTTTTATCAAAAGGATCAGCCTCTCTGGGAATGTTTTAAACTGACAGGCTTTGAATACTAAGTGTTGTTTATTTATTTATTTAAAATAGTGCCCCTGCCCTTTTTGTCTTGCATTAGGAAAGTACATTTTAGTTTTTATTGTCTTTTAGTAGATCTTTACCAGGTGAATAGCATGTTTCAGTAGTGGCTGCTTTTATTATGTGGATGAGTCCAAGGGTTTATAATGATAAGCAAGCTATCAACATTGTTCAGTCTACGTGTGTCACTGTAGAAAAAGAGGGTTCTTCTGGGATGCAGAAGACTTCCAACAGAGCCAGCATGCTGGAGACAGTCAGTGTGTTCCCATCTTATTGTCAAAATATTGTCTGTGGTGGATTACTCTACTTTTTCTAGCTAAATGGTGGCTTTGCTCACTCACAATTTCTTCCTGTTCCTAAATTAGTGGTATATATTTTGCCATTGAGAGAAATCATTATGGTTTTATTTAATTTAGGGGGAAAAGACTAAAAAGAAATTTACATACAGTTCCACTCTCACTCTGGCATCTATGATCATATTGTAACTTTTGCTGCTAGTCGTGTGTGTGTATTTGTTAGCATACACATACTTTCTAATTTTACATTAGAATGTGAGTACATTTTTGAATCCTACCTTTTACTCCTGTGACATGCATTTTCCTCTTCTCATTACATTTGTACATTTAAAAATACTATATTGCTAAATTCATGTATCATTCATGTATTATAATTTACTTTTCCTAAAACTGTTTTATACTTAAATCTCTTAAATGGTTTTAATTTTCCCCAGTCTTGTTGAGGTATAATTGACACAAATTGTATATATTTGAGGTATATGACATAATGATTCAACACATGCATATATTGTGAAATGATTATATCAAGCTAAATAACACATTTTTTTTTGTAGAGAGAAGAATTTAGGAAATTCTCTTAGCAATTTCAAGTACAGGGTACAGTATTCTTACCTATAACCTCCATGCTACAACGTAGATCCCCAAAACTTACTCATTTTGTAACAGTTTGTACCCTTTGGCTAACATTTTCCCTCATAATTTTCTTAACTGTTCTCATATTAAGGGACAGATTTAGGTGGTTGAAAGTATACAATTTGAAAATAATTTGTAATGTCATATTTTCTACATTTTATACTATTTTCTTAGGAAAGTTGTCAACTAATGAAATTTTGAGTCAAATTGTATGGACAGTTTCATAGCCTATGATATACTGTTGTTTTCTTAAAGGACTGTAATAATATAAGTATACCAGCAATGATTCAGAGTGATATTATCATTATATCTTTTCATTAGTGAACATTTAAAAAATTGGATCATGTCTTGAATATTATTTTGCACCCGGCTTTCCTAAATTTATTATATGAAGTTTGTCCAGAAGGTATCCAGCCATGTAATATGAAAAATAGAGACATTTTTGAACAAGATACAAGATATAAGCAACATTGTACACAGGACAATGATGCTTCAGCCCCCTTCAAAGTAGGCACCTTGGGACCTCACACAGTTCTCCCACACACAGTCAGCTGCCCCATCATATTTTTCTGAATCTCATCAATGGTCCGAAATCTCTTTCCCTTCAAGGGTGATTTTAGTTTAGGGAAAAGCCAGAAGTTGTAGGGTGCCAAATCTGGACTATAGGGGGGCTTAGTTACCTCGGTGATTTGATGTTTCAGCAAAAAACTCTGCACGAGAAATGATGGATGAGTAGGCATGTTGTTGTGATGAAACTGCCAATCACCAGTTGCCCATAGCTGCAGCCTTCTGAATCATCTGAGTAGTTTCCATGGAGGAATATTGAAGCTTAATGCAAAATTTGATGCAGATTCTTTGCTCTTCTTGTGCAGTCATTTTGAATGTGACAACCACACAGTACACGTGCTCACTCAACATTATCTAATACCCCTACTGACTAGTACAGTGAAGTCATAATTGTTCACACATGCACATTCTAGTCCACTCTCCTTGGCTCCCAGGTTACATCAGTATTGGGCAAACCATTCTTGTTGCATTAACAATGGCTGGACTTTTTCCAGACAGACCTCATATTATGTTCCCTCCACTACTTCCAGTACTACAACGGGACTACCAGTACTCCCTGGCACTACAGATACATAATTATTACAATATTATTGACTACATTTTATGTGCTGAAAAATTTATATCCCTGTGAATATTTTGTAACTACCAATTTGTACTTCTTAACCCCTTCACCTTTTTCACCCAGCCTCACAAACACTTCCTTCTGTCAACCATGTGTGTTCTTTCTATGAGTCTGTTTGTGTTTTGTTTGTTCACTTATTACATTCTTTAGATTCCACATATAAGTGAAATCATATGGTATTTGTCTTTCTCTGACTGTCTGCATTTTACTTAGCATGATGCTCTCTAGATCCATCTATGCCAAGGGTGTCAAACTCATTTTTGCTGGGGGCCACATCAGCCTTGCAGTTGCCTTCAAAGGGCTGAAATAATTTTAGGACTTTCTAAATGTAACTACTCCATAACTGTTACATTTGATTCCTTGAAGGCAGATGTGGCCCCTGGTGAAAATAAGTCTGACATCCCTGATTTATGCTGTCATAAATGGTACAGGATATGATTGTCTAGCTACTGTTCTGTACACCTGAAACTAATACAAAATAATATTGAATGTAAACTATAATTGAAAAATAAAATTTAAGTCCTTTTCAAAAAACAAATAAGTGTGCCTTAAAGAATGAATAAAATAAGTGTATTATATTGTATAGTTTTTATTCAAAACAATAAATTTATTTCTACAGCATTTTAAGTAGCTGCGTAGTATTGCATTATATGAACCTATCACAATTTACCAAAACTGTTTCCTATGGTGAGTAACAAGTAAACTGCTAGGATGATTTTTATTATGTAGTTTTCTTGGAACAGTGGGCCAATGAAGCACAGACGTTTGTCATCCGTTAGCATGTTTTGTTACCTGCAGAGCTTGAAGGAGTTAAGAGGATAGTCAGTGATCGACAGGCTTTTTTTTTTCTCCTGTTCGAAGGTAAAGACAATACTGGGGTTTATACTCAAGAAAGGAAGCTAAAGGTGCTTCCCTTGAATAGTAACTTACATAGGAGTGAATATTTTCTTCAATATTTTTTCTCCATTTTCAAGTGAAAAATTTTGTATTGTTTGTCCTAAACATGTTTTTTTGGGAAAAAAATATATATACACACACATATATGTATATGTATATATATATTGCTAGAAATTCAAAATAACTAAATTTTCTAGATGATAATAATAGTAACAGTGACTATTTATTGAGGCAGTACTATGTGGTTCTCATTGTAATAGGGGATTTATGTGAATTATTTCATTATTTTATCTAATCCTCACAAGATCCCTACAAGCTAGGGCTTTAAAGTATAATGATGCAACAGAAGCTTAAGAAACAACTCTCATTTTGTTAAATGGGTAATTGGGCAAAAAACTATTGTTATCCCTCTCTTTTGGGTGTAGTGACTAAGGCAAAGAGGGATTTAAAAACTTGATGGCCTGGAGCTGGCAAGATAAGCAATCAGAACCATATTGGGAAAATTAGGAAGTCTTTTTTCCTTAACTTATGACTAATATCTAAGCATTTTAAATAATTTTGGGAGGAGTAAGTACCCAACCATGAGAATTAGGCTTCGTGGGGAAATCACAGAGTCCATGCAGGAGAGGGCATGCCAGTGTGAATTGGAAGAAAAAAACAATACAGAGAAAACCAGGCAGAGAAGAAATGGGGTGTCAAATCAGCTCATCTTCTGCACCCTTTCCCAAAGACTAAGTGTTAACATTCTTGTCCAAATGCTTTTATTAATGATTTTTGCTCCCCATATCTTAGGAAAATTTCTCCGTTGACAAAATTCACCTTTTCTTTAAAGTACTTCATGCGAGTAAACATTTTAGACATCCTGAAGGAATTGGGATAACATGTAGGAGTACTTATTTTGTTAGATTCGGTTACGAAAAAGCAAATAAAGCAGTTCATTTTTAAGTGTGGAAATCTGGATTTCATTGACATTCATTGCTTCTTGGCCCTTTGTATGGTGGTGCTATATTTGATGGTGATGAGCAACATGCAGTATAAAATGTAAACAAAACAAGACAAAAACAAAAACAAAAAGCCACTGTAAGCTACATGGCATAAATGCCTAGATGTAATCAAGCTGACTTAACTATTAGTGACCAGTCCTGTCACCTCTTGATTTTCAACTGTGTGGAGTATTACTCTACAATTTGATTATATTCGCACAGGCTCATTTTATAGTTTGGTGTGATTTAGGGTACCCCAAAAGGCACATGAAGGATCTCATTAGGAAACTAAATGTGTGTTTTCTTGGTTTTCCACAGCAGTTCCGAGGAGCATCCTGGGGCCTCCAAGCCTCCAATAAGCTCCTCCAGTATGACATCACGAATCTTGCTACGCCAGCAACTCATGCGTGAGCAGATGCAGGAGCAGGAGCGCAGGGAGCAGCAGCAGAAGCTGCAGGCAGCCCAATTCATGCAACAGAGAGTGCCCGTGAGTCAGACACCAGCCATAAACGTCTGCGTGCCCACCACCCTCCCCTCTGCCACCCAGGTGCCGATGGAAGTCCTTAAGGTATGTGAGCGTCTCTCTTGTTGGTTGGACCAACCCCTCTCTCAAACCAATGTTTTACATTTTCTAGGAGTTTTATTTATCTGCATGTATATTTGGTCGTATGGACCTGTCTGAATCATATTTGTCATTGCCAACCTCATTAATTCTTCCATGGCTTTACATTTGCAAATTTCTGTAAGGTTAGTGGTAACTTTCACTTAATGGGATAGGAGTGATGTTCCATGAAAAATCACAATAGCAGCATCTTTCCATCTTTGGGAGAGTTTAAAAATGCACAAGTTATCTAAAATGAGCCTCTTCTAATAACTTATATACATTTTCTCCTAATACGTTCTATGGTCATTCTTTAATTTTCTTCTTTATTCAGTAAATAATTTTGGCTATAGACTCTCTTTTAGAAAGTCTCTTCAGATATAAAACTGTAGAAGAGCTTCCTGTGCTTTAATAAGCAGAGCACATAATGCTTTCATTGCAGTGAGTTGTCTGTTTTGGGTCTTTAATTTCTTGGAGGGGTGAAAACTGCAGGAGCTTGTTAGCATCTTTCTATCTGGACATATAGCTTCCTAATTACAGGGAAGTTGTAACAAGTTTAAGAATAGAATCCCATCTCACATGGGTCCACAGCACATTTGGAGATACTCCTAGTTTAAAGATAAACACTGTGACTCTTAAATATGACTGATGCAAAGAAAGTAAGAGATTCCCTTACTTAAAAAATTTTTTTATCCTGTTCACCTAATTGATCCATCCTGAAGAGTCCCAAGTGTTCCTGTTCATTAAACAATGTGAACTTTCCACATCAGTGATTCATTCTTGGTCTCTGCATTCATTGGTGTGGTCAAAAAACAAAACATCTCCCACTATTTCAAGTTTATTATTAAAGCAAATGGAGGGGATGATGGGTTATAATTGGGAAGCAATATGTAATCCTTACCAGGAAATGGGAGATTCTTTAAAACAAAGTTAAAGTCAAAATAAATTTTTTTATTTGCAAAGACTTTTTAAAAATGTAGTGATGAAATAATAAAACTCTCATGTAAAAAAACAATTAAAATTCTGTTAGAGCAAAAAAGACCCAAACGGTTTAGCATAGAAATTTTACTATTATGTGATTGAAGTTCTAGATATTGCCTCAATTAATAGATATTTGATCTTTCCCCTCCTTCCCCAAGTAAAGGCAAGGTTTTGTCTTGGAAGTAGATTATATATTAAAATTTTCTCTTTTGCTTTGGAGAAGATTGACAATCACTAAGCTTTTATAGATCTAAGATTTATTTAAGATAAGTTGTCTGCTATTCACAGAAGTCATTGTTTTGTCTATACTTTGGAATATTTAAAGTTGTATGAATTAGTAATAAAATGTGGAGAAATATGTCTATTTCATTCACTGTAATAGTCAAGTTTTTAGATCTGAAGGACAGCTTTTAGAAGAGACAACATGGGTTTGTGCTAGTAGTAATTTATGTCCAATTTAAAGGTAATATTTGATATTATATTAAAGTATATTAATTAGATCAATATTCCTATTAATGATATTACATCCCATGGTGGGAAAATTACATGAAAATTTGTTGAACCATTTCTATGTCATCTTAAAAATGGGTATCATTCTTGAATGTCTTATGACTTAAAATGTTGTTTTGAAAATGATTAAAATTAAAATCTATACTAAGTGGTTTTCCTCATATGTCGCATTTACTGTGAATGTTGGCTTGAGCTACAGTCCCCACCTTAGGTGTGCTGGAAAAATGTCCAAAGTTAAAGTACAGGTAAATTCTCAGAACCGGAAGACTTAATCTAAGTAAAAATGAGCAATTGATAAATTTATATTTTGTCTTAAATGTAGTTGATCTCTTAAGGTGTGTAGTTTTATACTTTAGTATATAAAGTAGTGAAGTGTGTCATATAAATGAAGAGTAAGAATTCTTGGCATTGCAATGAGAAGTGTGTGATAGCAAGTTACACAGATTTTAGCAACCTTAAGTGAAAGACCGAATAAAAAGATATGATTTCATATCACATTTTAAGAAATTCAAACAACATTTTTAAGGAGATTGTCATATAAGTCGTTGCTTCAGATACTTAAAGACTTGGTATTGTATAAAAATGGTTTACATATTTTTGGAAGTTTTATGTATAAAAATATTATGAAATATTTATTGTAAAAAAGTGAGGTAAATATGGTCTTTTTCTTTCCCCTTTTAAATCATAAGCATAATTTTATAAAGTAATTGGTTGATGGCAAAAGTAGTCAAAGTGCTTAATCTTGGACCATTTTTGATGAGTTTGCATATCCAGGGAATGAGTAACACCAAGTATACTAATTGAGTGCGTTATAGACTATATTGAATAAATATTTTCTTATAGTGTAGCCTGAGTAAACTCTTCATTTATTTTTTAAAGGTTTAAATTTGCTGAAATGGGACACACCTGCTTCTCTGTGGGGGTGGAAGTGTAGTATGTGCTAGAGAACCCTGGCCAAATCTCTGCATCTTCCACTGGTTTGCAGGAACTTGTCAGAAAGGCACACATGTTAGCTTAAGTTACCAACACTATACTCTCAGTGGGTTGAATGATTGATTTGACAAACTAAATTAGTGTTTTCAGGTTAATCCCTTTTTTGCAGAGTTATGCTTTAAAAATATGAAGCTTTATAAAGCATGTTTAAAAATTGTTCACAGTATCTGGTAAACTAGGTCTGGTCTTTGGAATTTGTATTAGAGGTTGGAAATTTACATTACTTACCCTTCTGTGGTCATCATTTTAGTCTATACATTCATGAAGGTTTGCAAGATCAGCCTCTGGTTTCTATAGTTAATTGATGGCATTAGTCCTGTTATTGATTTTGATGTTGGGTGACATGGAATGCTTAGACTTATTGCTATACATTTAAGTACTAGTGACACCTTCTGGGTTTAATAATAGCCCTATTCAAGTGGGTATTGCAATTAAAAATGGTTTTTATCATAAATTAACCAATATAGTGCATAATATGTTTTTTGGTGTAGTGAACATACCTTGTATTTTCAATTATGAATTATCAAAAAGAGCCACTAAGAACCATTAATGGTAATTTTAATTTCATAAACATATCTTCATTGCCCATTCCTATCACAGTCACTTATGGGCACCATCTGTACCTTCAAATGGAGTTATGTGTTTTGTGCCTGATTTTCTGATTCTTAGTTTATAGAGACATATGCCTTTATAAATCTTGTATATTTCACATAAAAGATATGAAAGAAAGAACCATTCTTTAAAAGAAAGAACCATTAATGGAAGCAGTTTCTTCTACAGGTGGTTTTGTTGACACAGGAGTCACATAAACCTGAGGTTTGAAATTTGATTTAGCTTCTTTCAAGCAAAAGCAGAGGACCCAGGGATAGAGTTTTTATACACACATCAGGTCTCATAGCTAATGAAGCGTTGCATCCCAGCCACTGTGTTATTGTGTTTTTTTAAGATTTTATTTATTTACTTTCAGAGAGGGGAAGAGAGGGAGAGAGAGAGGGAGATAAACATCAATGTGTGGTTATCTCTTGCATGCCTCCTACTGGGGACTTGGCTTGCAGCCCAGGCATGTGACCTGACTGGGAATTGAACTGGCAACCCACTTTGGTTCACAGACCAGTGCTCAGTCCACTGAGCCATACCTGTGAAAGGCTGTGTTATTATTTACACATGCATTAGCGTGTGTTTTTACTGTCCCATCAGTCAAACACCAATGATTGGAGCACCTCTTTGCTCTGATCTTGGACTGGCAAGTTCGTCAAAATTTGTCTCCCACTTCTTCCCACAGCATGAACTCTGAAAGTTCATAGCTTTAGAACATTATTAGTTTATATTTTGAAAACATTTCTCTGTTTAGAAATTTATAGAGACTTGCCAAGGACTTCTACCTCTTTCTCTTCTTCACTTTGGAATTTAAAAATTTAAAGGCAGGGTGTTTTCTCTGGAATAGATTGTACATTGAAATTCCCTGCTCTGTTTAGGAGAAAGGTTATGTGAACATTTAACTAAATGTTTTTTTGTAAATTTAGGATATTTTAAGTAGTTTTAAAGAATTTATATTTTAATTTTTCCACATCATCTCAGACAATTCAAGGAATTAGACAGAATGCTGCAGAATTAGAAATGGTGCTTGCTGTTTATCAAATACAAAAACACATTCTGCCAGGGCCTACTACATTGTAAACACAGAGTACTTTGGCATTTATTTGGTAGTCATCTCATACTGTGACATCCCATTTGGATAGTTATTCTATAGAGCCAGGATTCAAATCCTTCTTCTTTGCCCCCCGTTCTACATTCAGTGTCCTTGAGCTTTTGCTAATGAGGGCAAGGGCAGATGATTGAATTGATGGCCTTTCTATGTAACTTATGAAATCTACCTGGTGTAGAATTTTCAAGGTGTTGCTGATTTTTTAGGTATAATAGACTCATAAAAGGGTGTGTGGAGTTATAGAGGGGTGATGGGTCACAGATTAGCAGGAGGGGTACTCCCACAGCTCACTATGCATTTAGATATTGTTCTGGTTTATTTAGCTGGGAATACAGAACTGTTAGCATCATGGTGGCTACAAGAAGCAGGCACAGACGTGACATGTCTCAGATCAGCTTGCCTCAGGCTTCTTAGTTGGAGGAGTCTTTTGCTAGAGGCACTGTCCTCATGAGAAAGGACATCTGGCCTGTGGGCCATCATATATTTATTCAGTTCATCTGTGGGCAGTCTTGTAGTTTTGTCATCAATGTGAGTCACAGAAGCATTCTGTGAGCCTTGATTTCAGGACTGTTTATGAACTTTGGTGTCCCTTTGGTTTTAGATCAAATTCTGTGTGTGTAAGGCCACACCCTTCTTTAAGGGGACAAGGGACTCGGTTTCCAGGTTGTCAAAGTGAGTCCTCAGGGTTTTCCCCACAGGGTTTTGAGTCTCCTAGTAGTATTACTTTGTATGTGTTCAGCGTCACACATAGGTAATTATTTCTCTTTTTTATTGACTT